TGATTGTGACCAGAGCCGAAACTGAGAACACAGAGGGAATACCTGTGGACATGCTGATCTGATTAAGAGCGTTGTCCAGCAAACACCTGTCAAAGCTATTTGCAAAGGTTTAGCTGAATAGGACATGATATGTTAGAGAACAGTAAGCTAAAGAAAGAATGAATTGTCTGGCAGAACTTGCCGGTCACGTTCCTAACCCAGAACTCACTTAGTTGGAATACAGAAACTTTTCATCAGCAACAGGCAAATGATTCTCAGTGTAAGGCAGTGTCTCCAGAAAACCTCAAACCCAGAGTCTTGCCTACAAGCAAGAGCAAATGGGGCTGTTGTGGAAAAACAGATTATGATGCAGAACCTCGGCAGGGTTTCAAGTTGTGTCTAACACACTAGATGAAGATCTAGGTCTTCAGGGAAGATTATCATTGGATCCAGAGAAGTCTCAGAATACTTGCGATGAAATCACAGTGCTTGGTTTAGATTCCTGTCTAGACTATGCTACCATGTGTTACTTAGCATTACTTTTGAATAGTAATAATATGAACATGATAGCTAACTTGCATTGAACACCTCTGAACACTAAGCATTGTGTCTGTTTCCTGAACTACCCACTTCTTGCCTAAGACTACCCTCATCATTATAAAAGTGTTCAGACACTTTGATTTTTCACCACAGGTATTTATTTATGAATATAGACGTGATATTTATTCAAATCAACTTTAATTATGAGAATAAAATCACAAAAGAGCACCAAGTCATATTTTTCAATTATAATTGAGAGTACATCAACTAAAATATATTAGAAAATACAATTATTAATTCTATTCTCAAAAAATATTGATTCTAGATGAGATAAAGTTGTACACAGCCACAGATAGTTCGCTCGATCCAAGGTTTCAGCCTTGATATTTTTATTTTAAACGATACGTTCCTAGTCACTGTGCTATCGTCCCTACCTTAACATCAAACTGGGCTGGTGTGGAAGGCAAGGCTAACCGAAACTAAGAGTTCTGAAAAATCCAAGTGGAAACCTACTATTCTCAAAGCCACCTTCAAAAACTAAAAAAAAAAAAAAAAAAAAGAAAGAAAGAAAATGAAAAATTTGAATGAAAGTACATTTGCTTGAGTGGATTATGCTGTTCTCAGAAGCCAACAGTTACTAAAAAAAATTTCACAGTCAAACGTAAAACATAGCTCTGTGAGGTGGTTGGTCAGAGAGACACCAGAGGCAACCAAAAATACACAGGCTATTGCCATTGCTCTTGGTTTCCTACCGAAATTCCACTATAAGACCAAATTTAGGAAGATACTAACTTTGGCTATAAGACATGGAAAAATAAACCAAGTGCTCTCTTTCTTTTCTTTTTTTTTAAATTTTTATTTTTATTTTTATTTTTTTTAAATTTTTTTATTAATTACACTTTATTCATTTTGTATCCCCCCATAAGCCCCTCCCTCCTCCCCTCCCGATCCCACCCTCCCTCCCCTTTCTGCATGCATGCCACTCCCCAAGTCCACTGATAGGGGAGGTTCTCCTCTTCTTTCTGATCTTAGCCTATCAGTTCTCATCAAAAGTGGGAACTCCACAAGGAGAGCAACAGAACAAGATAATTTGAACACAGGGAACTTCCCAGAGACCCACACTCCAACCAAGGACTATTAGTGGAGATGACCTGGAACCCCTGCACAGGTGTAGCCCATGGCAGTTCAGTGTCCAAGTGGGTTACATAGTAATGGGAAGAGGGACTGCCTCTGACATAATCTGATTGGCCTGCTCATTGATCACTTCCCCCTGAGGGGGGAGCAGCCTTATCAGGCCACAGTAGAGGACAGTGCTCTCTTTCTTTTTTTTTTTTTTTTTTTTATTTTTTCTTTTTAGTTACATTTTCTTAACTCCGTGTCCCAGCTGTATCCCGCTCCCTCATTCCCTCCCCAACCCCACACTCCCTCCCTGGTCTCCTCCCTGCCCCTTTCCAAGTCCCCTGATAGGGGAGGACCTCCTCCCATTTCATCTGTCCCTGTTTTATCAGGTATCTTCAGGGCTGGCTGCAAAGTCCTCCTCTGTGGCCTAACAGACTGCTCCACGAGTGCTCATTGTGTGAGAAATTGTGATGTCAGCCTCGGGAAGGGTAGAGTCATAACAGATGTGGCCTTGGCATGTAGCAGCACTGATCTGACAGACAAGATATGCTCCCTGGTCCAATAGTGGCATAGTTGTGAGAATAATTAAAGCTTTCTGACTCAATATGTGTCACACTCCACATGAGGTGATGCATTCTTTATCTTGTAAACATGGTCAAATGCCCTTGACTAGGGCACTCATAGGTCCTAAAAGGGATGATACTAAAGTTGTTTTGCTGAAAGGACTTGTTGTCAACATGCTTCCTAGGAGTTTGATGTTATTATCCATAAACGGGTGCAGCTCTCAGCCTTGGTGAGGGAAGCTTCTGTTTGCAGTAAGCAGAAGTTAACTCAGATTCAAAACTGACCCTAAGCACTCAGCCCTAAACAGGACGCTCATGTCACCTACTTACAGACTAGGAAACACGAGAGAAGTGCTGCCCAAGGTGTTTTCTGTAACTGAGACAGTGACTGAATTCTTGAAATCTTAGTGGCTGCCATTTCCTGCATCTGATTTGTACAAGTTTGAGCCTATCAATATTCCCTCTCTTATGAGGTAAGAGCTCATGAGGCACCCCCTTTCCTTGAGAAGTTACAAGAATTCAGCAGGTCCCTGGAGATGAAGAATTACTTTCTTCCAGGTGGTGGTATAGGCACTGGCAAATTGCCCAAGCACCAGTAAATATCCCTCATATATGCTCATGCAAACAACCTCACCTCACTGGCATCACTACATGCATGTGCTTCCACGAACATTCACGCACATGCGTGTATGCGCGCGCGCACACACACCCACACACACACCCACCATTTTGGATAAAGGAAAAAAAAAAAAAAAGGAAGAATTTTAGCCAGAGAGGGAGACAAAAAAAAAAAAAAGAGCTTAATCTGCTAAAAAAAAAAAAAAAAAAAGAAATCTACATGTTTGTATGAAATTGTCAAATGGACAATAGTATCATAGCTTAAACATAGAATTTTTAATTAAATTTTTATTTTTATATTAATTAAAGTTTATTCACCTTGTATCCCAGCTGTAGCCCCTTCTCTCCTCCCCTCCTAATCTCATCCTCCCTCCCTCATCTCCTCCCATGCCCCTCTCCAAGTCCACTCATAGGGGAGGTCCTCTTCCCCTTCCATCTGACCCTAGCTTATCAGGTCTCATCAAAAATGGCTGCACTGTCCTCCTCTGTGGCCTGGCAAGGCTGATTCTCCATCAGGGGGAGACAGTCAAAGAGCATGTATTGAATTCATGTCAGAGATAGTCCCTGTTCACTTTACTAGGGAACCCACTTGGATACTGAGCTGCCTTGGGCTCCATCTAGGCAGGGGTTCTAGGTCATATCCATGCGTAGTCTTTGGTTGGAGTATCAGTTTCAGAAAAGACCCCTGTGCCCAGCTAATTTGGTTCTATTGCTCTCCTTGTGGAGCTCCTGTTCTCTGCAGGTCTTTCTATCTTCCCCTTTTTTTCCTAAGATTTCCTGAACTCTGCCCAGAGTTTGTTTATGAGTCTCAGTATCTGCTTTGATACACTTCTGGGTAGAGTCTTTCAGAGGCCCTCTGTGGTAGGCTCCTGTCCTGTTTCTTGTTTTCTCCTTTTTCCAATGTCTGTCCCATTTGCATTTCTGAGTGAGGATTGATCATCTTACCCAGGGTCCTCCTTCTAATAAGGAAATCATGAAATTTGCAGGCAATTGGTGGGAACAAGAAAATATTACACTGAGTGAGGTACCCCAGAAACAGAAAGACACACGAGGTATATACTCACTTGTAAGTGGATACTAGATATATAATATAGGATAAATCTACAAAAATCTGTACAGCTAAAGAAGTTTTTTTTTTTGCCCTTTAACATAACCCTTTTTAGGAGACATAGATCACTACCTAGCTACACATGTAGCACGCCCCCTCCGAGCATGCTCATGATGCAAAGACTATGAGCACCTCTTGATTCATTAGCAAGCACTGAACCTCTTGGGTGCATCTTCTACTACAATCTTGCCTCAGTTCCCGTGAGGCATCTCACTGCATCTGGGTTGAGGAGTACAGAACAGATCAGAGAAGGAAACCTTCTGTGAGAAAGAGGTCTCAAGAAATTTTAGAAGTGCTGGCAGTGTGAGCTCAAGGAGCCAGCTCTTCAGCTGTACTAACACAGATACTGTGACAGCAAACTAGTTTTAACATTTAAAATAAGTTCTCATACATTTGTCCTCTGTGAAAATAGAAAACAAAAAAATGAGTTTATGGTTGAAAAAAATTTTAAAGTATGTTAATGAAGAGCGATATTTGAAATCTAAGTCACAAAGTAAAAAAAAAAAAAAAAAGTTATTATGGTTCCCATAGCAATGATACAGTTGAATTTGACTTTTATGTGAAATAAGTTTAACTTGCAGATGAAAGGAAAGTACTCCCACAGCATCAAAAGAAGAAATACTGGAAACATAGAGATAATAGTTCAGAATATTCTAGCTTCCAACTTTAATGTGCACTTAAATTTCAACATCAGTAGTATATAGATGTTTGCGGTGATTTAAAGCTATGCTTATCTAATTTTTAAGACAGGGTTATTTAGAAGGAGAAAACAATCTTACCAATTTTTCTTGATTCAGAATCTGAAACTTGATAATTTAGAAACATAGAATTATGATTCTGCTCGTAATTATAAGAAAACATTGGCCCAAAGTGCAATTAATGAGACTACAATATGATTATCGCCATTAACAAGCTTAATTACTATTGATGTTGTCTGAAACTCTGAAAATGAAGAGATGACTGAAGACCACGCTATCCTTAAAACAGGATATCTACTCCATTTTCAAGATGTCTACAGCTAGCACAACTTCCCCAAGTTCAGTAAAATAGATAAATGCAAAAAGGATACTTACTCCTGTTATGTAACGAGGTCTATACTGAATAGTTCCAAACAAACCAAGGATGACGATGATAATATGTACAAAATTTGCCAGGATAGGGGCCCACTGATATCCAAGGAAATCAAATATTTGCCTCTCCAGCACACAAACCTAGAATAGCAAAAGAGGATGGGAATAGGTCAGCACAAGCAAGAGGCAGCACAGAGCCAGAGATGAAAGGATAGCTGTGACATTACAATTAGCAAGTTTAACTATGATATTGTATGTGGCGTTTTCAAACACTGAGAATGGCATGTTGCAGAGGAACACCATCTGAGAATCCACAGAGAGCCATTTGCCTTTCAGGGATGATTCTGTGGAGACACAGTCACTACACACACACACACACACACACACACACACACACACACACAAACACACACACACTATTAATCTACTCATCACTTGAAGTCATCAACCAGAAAGGTAAGCAAGCCGCCATCCAGGACTTATTTGGATCTCTCCAAATGTCACTCTGTAAATTGGGCTGGTTACACAAGGAGACTTGATACAGAGGAATAATAATAATAATAATAATAATAATAATAATAAAAGCCATTGAGCCACTAGGATTCTGCATGAAGATTTCCAACCAAAGAAGCTACGTGATTCACTTCTTCTTCAGCTGTCTGACTCTTTTCTGTAAAGTGAAGAACTTCTGCAGATGGAAAGGGCCCTTCCAGTCCTAACAGTGTAGAGCTATAAATCAACACTTTTTTTTTATTATACCGGCAACGTAACAGAAGGGCCAAAAAGAAAATTATAAATCAAAAAAGAAAAAAAAAATAGTCATCACTCTTTTAAAAACAAGAAAATCTAATCTATGTTCCACAGTTTGCAATGAAGACTTTAAAAAACTTTAAGCAATGAGAAGACTAAAAAAAATTGAAACAAAACAAGAAAATACCGAAGCAACAAACTGTTGGTAGCTCTGAAACTTCAATTTTCACTAGTTAGTGAAATATAGATTGCTGGCAAATCCTTCGTTAAGCCTAACAATACAAACAATGTATTGGCTTTTTTCTTACCCAAGTGGATTGACAAAAAAAACAAAACAAAACAACAGCAACAAAAAAAACCCAAAACCTCATTGTTCAGAGAGCATTTCTCAAATGATCTCAACATTCCACATGAAGACTCAGAAAAACTCAGCCTTGATTTCAAAGGAAATGGTGTTTTATAATTTACTAATATAATTATGCTTTAATAATGCATCACTCACTTGGTCCAGTGATATGGCTCAGCAGGTAAAAGGGCTTACTGCACAAGCCTGCTGACCTGAGTTCCATACATGGAACCCACAGTGGAAGGAGACATCTGTCTAGCAAGAGCTGCCCTCTGACTTTCACACGTGTGCAGTGGCGTGCGTGTGATGTCACTGTGTATGCACAGGTGTCTATCCTCAATAATGCAAATTTTATATTTTGAAATTATAGCGTAAGTACATTATTTCTACATTCTCTTTCTCCCTCTCACCCTACTCATGTACCCCCTTTCTCTATCTGAAATTCATATCCTCTTTTCTTTGTTGATATGTGTGTGTGTTTCTAAATATCACCCTGTTCAGTCCATATGTTACCTGTATGCATTTTTAAATTAAAAAATACATATGTTTTATTTTGAAAGCTTCTTGAGTGAGCATCATTCCCTCTTCAGTACCTTAGCTAAGCATAAGACTTCCTCCTGGGCACTTGAAAGAGAAAAGAAATTCCCAAAGGCTGTTTGCATAATATCCCCATTCCCGAAAGCAAATCATGAACCATACAAGGAGTATAATTGTCACCCACCAGCCTACACAGATTATTGTCACTGCATCTTTTCAGGGTTAAAGGTAGAAGGAGGAAAAGAAAGAAAAGGAAAAGAGGGCGAAAAAGAGAAAGGGGATGATGATGATGATGTTGATGGAGGAGGAGGAGGACTAGGATGATGAGGAGAGGAGGAGGAGAAGGTAGAGGAGGAAGAGGAGGAGGAGAAGGTAGAGGAGGAAGAGGAGAAGAAGGGGGATATGGTCCCTGGTCCCTTGCGTATGCTATATACACCACAGCACCAGATACAGCAATACAGCATAATGATTGGCTAATGACCACAGAAACTCTGTAGCGCCTGAACGTAACAGCTACGTAAACCTAGAAGTGATTTTTTTAGGAAGCTGGGACACTCTGTCAGCTATTTTGAGCATTTAGCAAGATAAATGAGACTCATCTGTGCGACAGGGCAATCGGGGATGCTCATTGTGTGCCTGCATGAAGAGTGCCTAAGATTAAGTGTTTCTCCTGACAGAATGATTCCTAATCATTAATGTGAAATCCCATTTCTACATGGCGCTTCTATCTCTTTTGCCTATGAATAAACAGTAAACATCAACGAAAGACAACAGCAAGAAGAATCTGAAGTCTGTGTATTCTGAGCATCATAACTGTGAGGACACAGCAGGGGAAAGGCATAGAGTCTATCAGTCAAGCAGTGGGAACTTTCTCAACAAATGGAACAATTACACAAGAAGATCATACAGCTCTCATTAATTATAGGAACACATACACAGTAATGTACTTGCTAAGTTTGCAAGGCTAAAATGAAAATTTAACAATATTGATTATTTTCGTCATGACAGAACTAGTAGCTTCTTCCTCATAAGAATATGAAGACACAATAACCTGATAACTGATCTCTCTCTCTCTCTCACATCCACACACACTAACAAACAACAGATACCTTCCCTCTCTTCTTTATCTTTGTTCTAAAAATTGCACATAATCCATAGCTTTATCCTGGGTGAGGTAGTTTAAAGTTCCACTGAATAATGGGAGCCATTCAGTGTTTCTAAGAGGTGTGATAATTTTTAGGCATAGTTCAGTTTTTCCTCAGATTTCCTTCAATCAAGAAAAATAATAAATATATGTATTATTGAAGATAATTATTGCTAAAACTCTTTCTGTGTTCCGGGTCCACACACACCCCTCTTCATTCATGTGCAAATCCAACGACATAATCAAGACTTTCATATTTTGTAGATTAAATATTTAAAATGTCTGACTATCTTGTGGTCATGACAGTTATATTTGTTTTTTTTTTCTTTTTTTTAATTTTATTTTTCTTATTAGTTACATTTTGTTAACTCTGTGTCCCAGCTGTATCCCACTCCCTCATTCCCTCCCCAACCCCACACTCCCTCCCTGGTCTCCTCCCTGCCCCTTTCCAAGTCCACTGATAGGGGAGGACCTCCTCCCCTTTCATTTGAGTTTGTTTTATCAGGTATTTTCAGGGCTGGCTGCAAAGTCTTCCTCTGTGGCCTAACAGGACTGCTCCTCCCCTGGGGAGGTGGGGAGGTCAAAGAGCCTGCCCTTGAGATCCTGTTAGAAATAGTCCTTGTTCCCCTTACTTTGGAAAACTACTTGGTTACTGAGCTACCACGGGCCACATCCAAGCAGAAGTTCTAGGTTATATCCATAGGTGGTCTTTGGTTGAGTGTCAGTCTCAGAAAAGACCCTGTGCCCAGATATATTTGGTCCTTGTAGAGCTCCTATCCTATCCATATCATACTATTGAAACCAAGTATAGTGTCAGTAATCCCTAAGCTGAAGTGGTGGAAACAGGAAAATTCTGGGGACTTGCTGGCCACCCATCTTGCCAAGCCAGTAAGTCCCAGATTCAATGAGAAAAGCATCTCATAAAAATAAGGTAGTGAGTGGTTGAGAAAGGCATCCAACATCAACTTCAGGCTGACACACACACACACACACACACGCATACACATGTGCACACTCCATTTATCCTGGTGTTATGTTGTAGGCACTATAGTGGCGATGAAATTGATGCTGTTTCATTGCTCTTTTTCTTTTGGAATAGTGCAGAGAATCTTTAACCCTACTTATAGTTTGTGACATTATCTTATCTTTGGTGAAGGCAAAACTCATGACTGCTTTGTTGATTTTATTTTGTTTATTGCCTCTTTTAATGCATTTTTCTTTTGAGTTTTGCCCATGGAAGATTTCAAATGTATTTTCTTGATGTCCTTCAAATCATCTGATATATAAACATAAAGAATTGGCCTTGAAAAAATATACTGCTACTTTTTTTTTCCTCATAAAATACATAGTGCTAAAAGTGTTTCTATTTATCCCTTTCTTATACATAAATGTTGGTCCTGCTTTTAACCTTCTACACGAGTCTATTATAAAAATATAATTCATTACCATTAATTCCTTGGCTCACATATCTTGCTGGCCCCATTAGTACTGTTACAGAGCTTTTTTTATTTTTTATTTTAATTTCATTAATTACATTTTATTCACATTGTATCTCAGCTAAAGCCACTCTGCCAACCCCTCCCAATCACACTCTCCCTCCCTCTTCTTCTCCTATGCCCCTCTCCTAGCCAAATGATAGGGTAGGTTCTCCTCCCCTTCCATATGACCCTAGTCTATCAGGTCTCATCAGGAATGACATTTTGTCTTCCTCTGTGGACTGGTAAGGCTGCTAGCCCTACTCAGGTGGAAGTGATTAAAGAGCCATCCCACCAGTTCATGTCAGAGAAGGTCCCTGTTCCTATTATTGGGGAATCCTCTTGGACACTGAGCTGCCATGGGATACTTGTGTGCAGGGGAGCTAAGTATCTCCATGCATAGTCATTGTTTGGATTATCATTCTCAAAAGACCCCTGTGCACAGATTTTGTTTTGGTTCTGTTGCTCTCCTTGTGGAGCTCCTGTCCCCTCAAGGTCAGAATCTCACCCTTCTTTCATAAGATTCCCTGCAATCTGCAAAAAGTTTCGCTATGAATCTCAGCATATGTTTTGATACCTTGCTGGGTAGAGTCTTTCAGAAGGCCTCTGTAATAGGCTCCAGTCATGTTCCCTGTTTTCTCCTTCTTCTGATGTACATCTTGTTTGCCTTTCTGAATGAAGATTGAGCATCTTACCCAGGGTCTTCCTTCTTGCTTAGCTTCTTTAGGTATACAGATTTTAGTATGATTATCCTATGTTATATGTCTAATATCCACTTATGAGTGAGTATGTACCCTGTGTTTCTTTCTGGTTCTGGGATACCTCACTCAGGATGATCATTTCTAGATCCTGGTAGAAGAAAAAGTGGGAAGACCCTAGAACTCATTGG